CAGTTTCGAGTTCGAGCCCCACATTGGGCTCCGTGCTGACAGTGTGGAGCCTGCTTGAGATTCTCTCTCTCCCTCTCTCTCTCTGCCCCTCCCCGACTCAAGCTGTCTCTGTCTCTTTCAAAATAAATACACAAACTTAAAAAGAAGAGTTATTGAAAGACTGATGAATAAATACTAGAATCTAGGGCATTATTATAGCCTGTCTTCATTGTCGCATTTCCTCCTTTCTCTTGGACACAGATATGAGGTGTGTGGTCGGTCGTGCATAGTCGTCAGGTCAACCAACATCTACTCCTTTGGAGTGTTCTTTCCACCCGGCCTGAGACTTGCCGGCGAGGAAGGCCTATGGAACCACAGAGCCCTGGCCGCGGAGGGGCGGGAAAGGCCAGCAGCTGGCTGAGTGTCTCTTTCCCTCGCCTCACCTTGTGCCTGCTGCTCCGCCCCAGTCTTGACTGTGAGGTCTAGGAGTCTTGTCGCGCAACGTATCATGCGACATTGGAAAAGGAGATTGGTTTTGAGAAGGTGGCGTCAAGAGAGTCACGTCAAAATTAAACAACGAATTTTCTTTTTAAAATCTGCCAAGTAGTGGGCCCAACAGATGTCTCTGACCTTCCATCTCTCGGTGTCGAACTTGTCTCTTGTCGTCGCTATTGCGTGTTCCCTAGTGTGTGGCTTGGCCGTGTCCCCAAACATTTGGTCACATCATATGTGTCTTCAAACTAATTAAATCTGGTTGAGTTGTCCAAGTCTATTGTCTGTCAAAATGGCAAATTCATCGTAGTACTTGGAGAGAAAATTTTAACAAAAGGCTTTCATATGTTGGCGTGTTTCCTAAGGCTAGGGCATGGGTTAAGGGCTAGGGAGGGCTGAGGCGTACAGAGCTCAGTTGTAACCCAGCGTAAAGATTAATGGTTAGTTTCCTTGATCGTGTGAAAAGGTCAAAACACTCAGCATAGGTGCAAAGGAGATTTCTCTCCTTTCCCCATGTACTTCAAAGGCCCTAAAATAGATAACTGAGAAGTGTGGAAACGTGGACTCCAAATGAAAATGGGTGTGTGTGTGTGTGTGTGTGTGTGAGAGAGAGAGAGAGAGAGAGAGAGAGAGAGAGAGATTGTGAATGTGTAAGCAGGATCTAAATACTATTAGTAGGGACTGCTTTTCAAATCAGTTCGAGGGCTCTTCATTACAGCCTACATTAAAAAAAAAATAATATGACCACTAACAACAACTTGTCATGGCCTCCCATGTTCCAACAAACAGTTTGCATGAGGACATTCAGCTGTGCCATGTGGGACGTACAATTCATGCAAGTCAGGTCAGGACAGTCCCCCTTGGTGGTCTCCAGATAAAGTTCGATTCCTCTGTCCCACCCAAGGCACGAGAGCACCTCGCTCTCTCCCTGCTCCTCTCCTTTTATATTTAATTTCTTAAAGGGCTTCAAATTAATATTAAACAGTTCGTTTAAAAACGCAACCTTCTTGGGGCGCCTGGGTGGCTCAGTCGGTTAAGTGTCCGACTTTGGCTCAGGTGATGATCTCACGGTTTGTGGGTTTGAGCCCCGTGTAGGGCTCTGTGCTGACAGCCAGCTCAGAGCCCGGAGCCTGTTTCGGATTCTGCATCTCCCTCTCTCTCTGACCTTCCCCTGCTCACACTCTCTCAGAAATAAATAAAAACATGTAAAAAAAAAACAACAACCCGCAACCTTCTTGAATGGCCTGAACTACCTTCAGTGGGGATTTGGTCAAGTATCTGGAAAAGAAATCGAGCCTCACAGTCATCGACTGTTCCCGGGGGTCTGAAGGCAGGGAGAATGTTGGAAATGCTTTTTCTCCCAGTGCCACTTTTTAACATGAATCCGTATCAGGTTAAATTTCCAAAACCTAGTGGAGAATGATCATTTCGGGGCAGCTTTCCAAATCATAGTGGCATTTCTGTGGGCAATGACAATAAAGCTGTCGACTTGTTTTTCAGCACGAGTGCCTCCACTGCGGTTGGGACATTTAGTTTTGGAGCTGCTGTCTAAGGAAATCAGGTTTCAAGTCGAGAGGGCTCACGGTAGTATTTCAGACGTCTCTTTCAGCTGCTCGCATTTTGCTCAGTCCCTCCCTGCCTTTCCAGATGGAACAGGTCCCTCTGTGCCAGTGACTTGTGTGATTGTAAGATGACAGCTAAGGATAGCTCAAAAATGAAACAAAGGAGTCATTTTAAAATACCATCATTTTAAGGCAGCCTTATCCAGGATGAGTAAAAATGTCTGCAGGGCAATTAGAAAGGAATTGTATTTTATTTATTTCTCTCTCTTAATGGGAGGACTAGAGGACTGGCCTTGGGCTGTTTGATGGTATTACTGTTTGGTCCCTGTGGTTTTAGTATGTGGTGAGAACAGGGAGAAATGAGTTCATGTTATGTTTGTAAATGCAGCACGTGATCTTGCTTTATTCTCTAAAGTTCAGAAGGCATGCCATCTGAGGCCCTCACTTTTTTCCTGTGTGCGGAGGAGGGACCCTTCTTAAAAGTGCCCTGAGATCACTGACCGCTGGGGCAGGGGTGGAGACAGGCTAGTTAGGGGGAGTCCCTGAGCGAGAGATGATGGGTTCTGGCTGGCTGTCTTCTCGGATCTATATGGTTCAAGGAGGGTGGGGTGGGGACCATGGAGAGGACAAATGACCTCAAGACCAATGGGTTGGCCCCCCCCCCCCGTATTACATGAGTACCAACCTTACCCTTTGCTAGGTTTACATGGCATTTTCAGTACAAGCAGGCTTAAAAATTTGAGTTTTCTAGATTGCTCAGTTCCACAGTTAGACCATCGACCTTCGTGTGCTGCTCTGAAGAACTTCCCCATAGAATCCTAATGCTGTCATGAGCAACCAGTTGGGGAAAACGAAAAAGTGGTGCGTGAGAATTAGAAAATGGTTTGCATTTTCTTATACCTGGAAATATCCAGCTCCCTCTCTAATCAGATTCTCATAACAGCTCTATTTCCGTACGAATTACTCATTGGCTGTAAAGGTCACTAGGAATCGGTGAGCATTAGAAACTGCAAACCAGTTAGAATGTGGCAATAGCTTTGCTCCGAATTGGATGTTGATTTAAATTGGCTCCGGTAATATGATGCTTTTTAATGAAACTATCATCGAATGGATTAGCAGATACTTTCCTGGTTTTTGAGAAAGACGCAAAGTGTGTGGGGGATGGGGTCTGGGTGTGGAGACAATGACTGTTTGGTCATGCTTTCAAGCGTTTGTGCTCATAAATCTTCCCAGAGAGGGTCCTTTGCCTGCAGTATGGATGAATGGCCTTTGAAAGCTTAATGGGAATTGATGCCATCTATTGATTACCATTTAAAGTACACCTTCCTAATTTCTAATCATTTTTGAAGGTAAAACGCTTTCCAATGGAACAAGTGTCTCTTATCAGAGGGTCCAAGTCTGGTGTCTTGATAGCCTAAGGGATCAATTACTTCATACAGCAACTTGATGCCTATTGGGATGCTGTTGAAGGTTGATACCAAACCAGATTTCCATGGAGCTGACAATGTGCTGACTATGCAGCAGATGGAAGTCGCTGGCTTGCTGCCCTGATTTCATGTAGGCAGGGGGTTATTTCTAGATACGTTTCTGGGACTTCCATAGTGGTGAGGGTCAAGGCCAGGTTAGTTCCAGGAGGTCTTCATTGATAGTTCCAATACTGAGCTAGTTCCCTAGTTGGGGATTTTGATCTGCTCAGTAAACAGGGGTAAAAGTGAGAAAGGGATACCCAGAACCAGTGAGAATTCTTGAAAGGGCTCTAGAATGAATGCTTTCTCCTTCAAGGAATGAAAATAGTTTTTAGCTAAGTGCTACAATTTTAAGGAACGTACTTGTGGGTTTCCATGAAATAACTGGACAAATCTCATGATAATACATGCAGAAACACATTTCTTACTGATTTCTCAAAGTAAGCTGGTTTAGAATCAATATCTGTTTACCCTGGACATTGAGGAAAAGTTAGTAGTTACACCTGCCAACCAATAACTTGATTATTGGTTGAGGAGACTAATCGTTTCCCCTTTGCCTACTACACACGTGGCCTCTGGATCATTGCTACAACCAGTTATAGTGGTCATGGTAGCAGGCAATGGTAATTATAGAATGGGTCCATTTTCTAATCACCATACTTTCCTCGTTGGGGCAACTGAAAAAAAACATTTGAGTTTTTAAACCCTCCACTGGTAGCCTTTCTCATAGTCCAGTTGGCAGAACAAAGATCTTGACAGTTTATGTAAAAGTGGCTTGTCCATCATATTATCCTTCTAGAACTTTCTGCTTCGACTTCCTTTCATCTTTCCTCTTGACAGTGTTTATGTAGCTTTACTACCTTTTGCTAGTGAACAACCTGCCGTTTCCCCACTAAGATTGGGCCTACGATGGAGTGGAAGGGGTGGAATTAAGTGTACTCAAGAAATTAAAACAATTATCGCCTTCCCTGAACGCTGCATTATCAGCATGTATACAAACACTTGAAATAAATGTGAAACACTTCAATAGGAAACCAGTGTCTGACACAGAATATCTAATTTTATAGTCTATCACTCTTCAGAGTCTTAGAGTCAAATACCTAACTTCTGTGAACTGCTGAGACATAAAATCACTACTTTTATAAAAGCTCGAAAGGAGAATGCGTATCATTTATTTAGTTCAGTCCCCTCAGTTTTCAAGTAAGGCAATTGAGGCTGATGACTTGCCCAAGGACAAACAATCACTTTGTGGCGGGGATGGGATTCAAACCCGGGAGTTCAAGCTTAGTGCCCTTATATCCCACTTGTTACGGCGCACACAAGTCTTACTTGAAACAACAATGAATTAGGTCACCGGCCAGGCAGGGCTGTATTTAAGATGCTGTGCTTCAATAACATCCCCACACTTTCCCAACTGTCCCTTAAAAGCACTGCGAATTTGCCTTTGTAAGAAGATGATAAAATAAAAGCCAGCAGGCCTGATTAACTGCAAAGCACTTACTCTGAAAAATTCTTTCGTTGAACCGGAGTCCAAGGTCCCATATGCAATTTCAGTCTGCTTAGCTAAGTCTTCAGCACTCTCTATGGGAGAGACCATCCTCTCCACAGTCAGGAAAGCAGCAAGATTGGCAGTGTAGGAAGAAATTATGATCAGGGTGAAGAACCACCAAACCCCTCCAACAATCCGCCCGGACAGCGACCTACGAGACAAAACAGAGAGCGGTCCAGACCCGGAGGGGCCGGATTTCAGTTTAAAAAAATCATTAGCTGTATTTCTGGAAATTGAAGTGGTTGCAGTAGAGTCGAAGTAGGCAATGTCAGGGAATGAAAACAGCGAACAAAAGTAACATGTTAACACCCCACGTGGTGATGGCATGTGATGATGGTACACGCATAATGTCTTTCAGGCCGACGTGGCTTGCAAAGTCGGATTGGTTATTTTTTTTTTTTAATTCTAGAAAAAATATCTTCTTTTTACTGGCTCCTGATGACACATAATAATTATACTGATGAGATTCTCTTCCTGTGTGAGCTCTGTGTGCTTCTGAGCCTGCACAGTAGAATCATGTGGGACCGTTGTAAAAAAACAAAACAAAACAAAACAAGAATAACAAAACAAAAAACAAAAAAAGCAGAAACAAAAACAAACGAACAAACAAAACCCACAAACACCCCTCATGCTCAGCCTGCCCAACACCAGTTAAATCAGAACCTGGGAGGTGAGGTCCAGACATATATTTTTTTAAAGCTCACCAGGTGATTACAAGGTATAGCCAACGCTGAGAGCCACAGATGCAAGGTGATGTCATGAGAGAAGCCAAGTCAAAACCCCTTTCGTATCTGAAGGGAAATGCGTAGGTGTGGGCGGATGAGCACTCTTCACTCTGAGTTTAGTAAATTTAATAAAGACTTGGCTATTTTGTGGAGTTGGTCACCCATGAGGCAAGGAGCCGTAAGATAATATGCACTATGATCTTTGTATAAATGGCTAGTGGGGCTCCGGAGCTCAGATCCAGGGATCAAAACTCTTTGCTTTTAGAAACAAGCGTTAGCACGAAGGACAGCCTCGAGTGAACTAAGGAACTACCAGGATAATAGAATTTGAGGGGCACTAAAAGTTTTGTTTCCACCTCTACCTCCCCCCCGCCGCCCCAAATAATCAAAATGGACAAAACCATCCTCCCCAGCCTGCCCCAGAGGTTCTTCATATTGGAATCACCCTGTGCATTTTCTTCAGAAGCCTTGGTCAAAATGTTCACACGCAACTTCAATAGGACCTCTTAGCACATTTTCGTGGATTAGTCTATCCAGTTAGTAGAGAATCGGACAGAAGATGGGTAAGTTTTAATAAGGGAGAATTTTGTGGTTAAATGTAACTATGCCTTTGGCATGACCTGGGGGTGTTTGTGAAAGTGCAAATTTGGAATACGGCAGCGCTCAAGAACCTGCACTTCATACGCGTCACTGGTGACTGCAGTGGTCTGCAGACCAGACTAAGAAATACTGTCCTTCTACATCAGTGATTCTCAACTCTGCCTGCACATCAGTGTCGTCTGGGAAGTTTGAGACAAAATAACACCAAGCACGGCGGCACATACAAAATGCCTAGGCTCCGCCCCAGACCATCTAAGTCAGACTCTCTGGGGGTTAGGCCTAAGCAGCAGCATTTGTGTAAAGCTCTGGTACAACCACGGTTGGGAGCCACGGTCCCTACATCATGAATGCTGCTCAGGGGAGGGTCTGTGGGAAGCGAGGGGGCCGTTCAGGCACTGAGTGCTCAGTGATGGGTTGGGGTTTGAACGGAGGCAACTTCACCTCCGTGACAGTGTTGCTCGAGGCTGGCTCTGTCTGCAGAAATGAAAATCCGGCCCCTGGGTTCTAGAGAACATTGCCGCATTATCTCTAGGAGAGTCCTTTCTGTGGCAGAGCTCCATCCTGATTAGGCTACGTTCTCCCGTGCCCAGAACAGCTCCCAGGAAAGGAAGCCACTGTGTTGGGAAGTGAAGAATGGGCGTAGGAGCCTGGCAGTCTCCAGGCTCTGTGGGAAGAGAGGGCAGTTCTGGGCTGAAAGCTGGAAGACGAAGCCCTTCTCCGTTTGCGCTTGCATTTTACCATGCCGAGGCAAATTTAAATTCCTGCGTCCCTGGAAAATTTTTACTTTTACTAGCCCCTGGAAAATTCAGGTGTTTTTGATTTCACACTCTGATCAAATAATTTTGGCAGGTGTGTCGATGAATGGTGTTCTTTATTGATTAACGGAAACAAAACTCCTTGATTTTTTAAAGCGCTCGATGCTTAAAACAACCCTTCTTTCTTTATCTTTGAACTCAGTCACTTTTAGCCTTTCAGACGTGAAAATCTGCTTTGCAACGGATTTCTCTGACTAATAGTTATATTCTCTCAGGATTTCATCTGGGAACACGTCCCTTTTAATCAGAAGAGATAAAAACATCTGGATGAGCCAGAGAGAATGTGTTACAGTTCCCAATGCTTAAAGTTTATAGGATATTTCAATTATGAATTCGGACCTTATAGTCTTTCTTCATTGTTGCCATATATATTTAATTTATTCTCGACGGATCTGACTCTGGAAATAATCTTCCCGTATAAAAGATTAATGTTCCAAAGTAGCATCCATAGTAATAGGGTAATAAAAATGATGACAATAATAGCTAACCCTTCCTGAGCACTTCCTGTGTGCCAGACTGTTCTGATTGCTTTGCGTTGACATGGGTCAACTCTTTCAGCCCACCGGCCCTACGGTTAGGTGCTGTTTATCCAGATTAGAAAACAGAGGCATTTAACAGATGAAGAGACTGAGGCACAGAGAGGAGAAATCGGAAATAAAGCATGTATACTTACACAATAGGAAAGAAATGCCCACATTTCCGTGCTACCAAACAGTCACATTTTGTAGGAGACAGTCCGGAATGGTGTGTAAATTATAGAAGGTACAATTTTCTGACAATAACTGAGAATTATAGTTGCAGGAAAACCAAACATGTTTGGATAATTATTGTTTATTATCTGCTGTTCATTTGGAATGAAACTGTGAAAGCCGTCCTTATTTGGAAGGATAGGGCTTTCCCGACACCAGGGGGAGAACGGGTTCTCCAGAACCGCGGTTTGGGACGGAAAGGGGTGTGTGAAGCTGCTGCGAATGCCAATGGTCGTTTTTGCATTGTCTACTCGAAATATGGAGGAAAATACCGTAATTTCTGGAAACTACACTTGTGCCGTTCTATTGACGCTAATGGATTGTGTCTGTATGATCTAAAATCAAGCCTGCACATGATAATCTGGTTATTTCTGGCCACCGTAATAGGTGATTCAGATAATCATGTGGTTGATCTGGAGGACTTCGCTGAGATCGGCTGTTGACCTGACTGAAAATAAACCTCAGCGCAAAGCGGTCATTTTGGTGGCCCCTTTAGACATGGCTATGGACTCTGGCAACTACGCGGTTAATACGATGATATCCCTATAAGCATGGAGAATTTTGGTGAATATTCACATAGAAATGGTGTAATAGTATCCAGAAGCCTCGGCACAGATGGAAAAGGAGCTTCCTTGGAATCCGTGTTAAATGCACAAGCTTGCGTTCAACATTCTCCCCTCAAGGCAGTAGTAGCTTTGACAAGAGCCTCGGTAGAATTTCTACCACTTTCCTTCATGGTGTGAATGCCTGAATCCTCTCTCACTGAGAAAAGGTGCAGTGGCACTCACAGGGAAGTGGCTCTGTAAGAATTGTTACATTTCCCTTTTCTCGTTAATGAAACTAAAGCCATTTAAACCCACATTTCACAGGGAGGCTATATAAAAAGTGACTGATGGGTCAGCCCCATGACATTTTTAAAAGGATCTATTAAAACAAGACAAGACTTTATAGTTGAGTTAAAAAGACCTGTCATTTTCCAGTTTCTTTCCCTCCATTAACGCAGCTTCACAATGTTTAACATTCATTTCAAATAGTTTTGTTGCGCAAGACAGATTTTGAGGTTAGCATAATGAAATGGCTATAAAATGCTGCACATTTAGTATTTATAAGAATGCATCATAAGGAACATATCGTTCCTTTTGAAGAAATGTAAGAGGAGGCGTGAAGTTAATGAAAGGAGATTAACAACAAGAGGAAAACAGACATAAAAACACTGCAAAATAATATACAATGCTCTTGTTATCTGTAATCATACGGAAGTAGAGCTTCTGAGTTAATAGTAGAATGTATTTTATGACCTCTGAAATGATAATAAAAGTGAGCTATGTGCTGTAACCTTCATCCTGTAAGTAAATTTTGAAATGTGCACTTTACTAGCTTCGCAAGATCAAGGGCAGAAACTGTAACTGCTTCTCCTTTGCACAAACTCTTCATCATTCTCTCCCCCCCCCTTCTTTTCTTCCGAAATACGGATCTTGTCTGCACTCTATTCAATGCTGTATCTATGACAGATTTTTAAAAAGTGTGCAGAATCAATCTTTGGCTCGTATAGTGTTTTCTGATGGGATTAAGTAACCGTCTCCCAAAGACTGAAGACTACGGCTTTCAGCCAGAACAGTCATGAAGTAGTTGCAATAAAAATGCTGCTCTTACATCATTAATTTATCACCACGTCACTACTGCTTTGAAGAGAATTTGCAGGAGGATGAGACACTGGTCAGACATCGGCAAAGGAAAGGATGTTGCTTAAAATGGAGTAGAAAAACAATCCTGCCTTCTTCTGTCCCATTCATTTCATGCCCTTTGTGTCTTTTATTATTTTGTACATATTCCATTTTAACAAAAAGACGTAGGTTGTCAACTAACCTGGAAAGATGTCCTACCCACTCCTCTAAAATATTTGGAAGCTAAAAAAAATGCTTTTTGTTTATTCTTGAGAGAGAGATAGAGACAGAATGCAAGCGGGGAAGGGGCAGAGAGACAGGGAGACACTGAATCGGAAGCAGGCTCCAGGCTCTGAGCTGTCAGCACAGAGCCTATCATGGGGCTCGGAACGCATGCAACAGTGAGATCACGACCTGAGCCCAAGTCGGATGCCTAACCGACTGAGCCACCCAGGCGCCCCTGAAGTATGAAGAGTAGTGCCTTTGGAATAATCTGTACCCAGTAATCAGGTTCAAGTTAGCATGTTCTCTCCGTTAGAATTCCCCCAATCCTCACATCTTCAACTTGGCTAGCCCTCAGATGTCCCTGCAGCTTCCA